GACGATTTTATGGACGAAATTAAAAGATTGGGACCGACGATGCAACTACATATAAAGGTTTGAGACTTCAGCCGCAAAAATAAAAGATTTTGGAATAATCTGCAACAAAATGAAAGGTTTGGGACCATGGCCGCAATTTTCCCTTTATAATATCATACAAGCAACAATGGCATAAACAATTGTTTTGAGCCCCTTCTGGTCCTCGTTAAATTTATAATATTTTTTTCTCTTCTTTTTTAACTACAAATTCTCCAATAAAATATTATTACGCATAAATAAAAAAATTCTTTTTTTTTAACTACAGATTCTCTAAAAAAAACAATATTCAATAAATTATAACACCAAATAATGGGGCAAAATGGGGCTTATACGGTGCCGTTCCTGTTACTTCTTACTCACCCTATTCTTTTTCTTGATAAGTTCTTGGGGCTTTCATTTAAAAGGTCTAGTCAAACCAATTATTAGTTTAAAAAATCCAACGGCAATATTTTTTAGTTAGAAGGCCTAAAGATACCGAAAAATGAAAAATACAATTTGTAAATAACTAAAATATCATTGTATACAAAAAGACATTATTGCCTTAATTCCTCTTTCATATTTCTATTTAACCCTAAATCAATTTTGGATTCCATTTCTTCTTTCAGAGGTCGATATCTTAAATATTCTCATTTCTTATCATCATATTTCTCCTTCATGAAATCCTAAAATCAATTTTGGGTTTCTTCTTGGTTGGAGATAGCATATGTGTTAAAAATCTTAGATTGCTTGAATTCAAATTCTAGGCTTTTTTAGCCTCTGTCCTGATAAATATGCTAATATGTACTTGATTTCTTGAAAATATGGTTATTTGACTTAAAGAATCAATTGTTCATATCCTTGGTTCTTAGAAATGAAAGGTCATATGCATCTAATGGAAGTACGTGTTATATTCATTTCTTGTTTATGGGTGTCCATGGAGGTTATTAGCATGACTAGAAATGGCACTTCTCTTGCTAGTCCAAGGATGGTGAATGTTCGAATTTTGTTTACATTAATCTTGCACAAGCCTACAATTATTGTTGTAGTTTATGATATAAATTCTGATTTTAACAGTATTATAGGCACAAAGTTGAACTTCTTCCTGCATGATACAAATTGCACTGGGTTTCTTGGAACTGTTGAAGCTAATAATTGTATATCTCGCGAATGCATTAAGTGCAAGAAAAATGGTCATATACACGTTCCACTTGCAGGGGCCAAACAGCTCGTAGTGATCCGTAATCTGCGAAATATTGTTGTGACATGTAGCTTTATTATTTTGTACTTATTTGAAGCAACAAATGATTTATTACATTTTATAATCATTGTATTGTCAATGTCTTGATATTGAAACGACAATAAAATCATTTGTTACTTTTTTATGATGTTACTGCTTTGTGCTATTGGAATGACATTAAAATCATTTTATATTATTGTGGTTATTTTTTCACTTTACTGATATCATTTTATCTTTCTACAAACAAACAACTTTTATATCTTTTTTTTTAAAATGACACAAATGTCATTATAGATGTTACATATGACGTTCCAGTACAAAAAATTTACTTCTTCGCATAACGACATTCATATTGTTCCTGACAAACAAAACGATTTTGATATCGATCCGGTACAAGAGTTTTACTATTCACATAACGATATTAAAATCGTTCTAGACTAATAAAACAACATTGAAGTTGTTACGCCAAAAAAGTGTACGGCACATGATGAAAGTTGTGGTGCAAGCCATCTATAGTTTAGGAAATTGACATTTTGGTCCCCAAACTTTCATACTGTTCAATTGAGTCATTTTCTCATGCAATTTTAATCACTTGACTTCTAATTTCATCTAATTATTTTCATAAGATCTTCAATAGTTGTTTCATATTCTAGATCAATTATTAGAAACCTACAACTTAGTCCTCAAATTTCAAAAAGTCCATAAAATGACTTGTATCACGTGTATCAATTTAACATAACGATAATGGTGTCGTTCCATT